AACCACTGTGAAGGAGGTGCAACGGTTCTTGGGCTTTGCGAATTACTACCGGAGGTTTATCCGGGGTTTTGGACAGGTGGCAGCTCCCATAACGTCTCTGTTAAAGGGGGGTCCGGTGCGCTTGCGGTGGTCAGCTGAGGCGGACAGGGCATTTGGGAGACTGAAGGACCTGTTTACCTCGGCGCCGGTGTTGGCGCATCCGGATCCCTCTTTACCGTTCCAAGTAGAGGTGGACGCGTCAGAGGCCGGAATAGGGGCCGTTCTTTCCCAGCGTTCTGGTACTCCACCTAAACTCCGTCCCTGTGCGTTCTACTCTAAGAAGCTCAGTCCGGCGGAGCGGAATTATGACGTAGGGGACAGGGAGCTGTTAGCCGTGGTACAGGCCCTAAAGGTGTGGCGGCATTGGCTCGAGGGGGCTCAACACCCTTTCCTCATTCAAACTGACCATCGTAACCTGGAGTACATCCGGGCAGCTAGGAGACTGAATCCTCGCCAGGCTCGTTGGACTATGTTCCTGGCCCGGTTTGTGTTTAAGATCACATACATCCCTGGGTCCCAGAACGGGAAGGCAGATGCTCTGTCCCGGCGGTATGACGCGGAGGAGAGGTCAGTTGAGTCCACGCCCATACTACCGGAGTCTTGTCTGGTTGCTCCGGTGGTGTGGGAGGTTGATGGTGAGATCGAGCGGGCGTTACGCACCGACCCGAGTCCTCCTCAGTGTCCTGTGGGTCGGACGTACGTTCCGCTCGAGATACGCGATCGCCTCATTTGTTGGGCTCACACGTCTCCCTCCTCTGGTCATCCGGGTATCGGCCGGACAGTGCACTGCCTTAGCACGAAGTACTGGTGGCCAACGTTAGCTAGGGATGTGAGGATTTATGTTTCCTCCTGTTCGGTGTGTGCCCAGTGTAAGGCGCCCAGACATTTGCCCAGGGGTAAGTTACAACCCCTGCCTATTCCACAACGACCCTGGTCCCACCTCTCGGTGGATTTTGTTACCGACCTTCCCCCCTCACAGGGAAACACTACCATCCTGGTCGTTGTGGATAGGTTCTCGAAGGCCTGTCGTCTCCTTCCCATGCCGGGTCTACCCACTGCCCTGCAGACCGCGGAGGCTCTGTTCACCCATGTCTTCCGGCATTACGGGGTACCCGAGGATATAGTGTCTGACCGAGGCCCCCAGTTCACCTCGAGAGTGTGGAGGGCATTTATGGAACGGTTGGGGGTGTCGGTAAGCCTTACCTCGGGTTACCACCCGGAAAGTAATGGGCAGGTTGAACGTGTCAACCAGGATGTGGGTAGGTTTCTGAGGTCATACTGTCAGGGCCGGCCGGAGGAGTGGGCGAGATATGTGCCCTGGGCGGAGATGGCACAGAACTCTCTTCGCCACTCCTCCACCCAACTAACCCCGTTTCAGTGTGTGTTGGGGTACCAGCCGGTGCTGGCACCATGGCATGAGAGCCAGATCGAGGCCCCCGCTGTGGATGAGTGGGTAAGGCGCTCGGAGGAGACGTGGGACGCTGCACACGTCCATCTGCAGCGTGCCATACGTCGACAGAAGACGAGCGCCGACCTACACCGCAGTGAGGGGCCAGTGTACGCACCTGGAGATCGAGTCTGGCTCTCAACCAGAAACCTGCCCCTCCGCCTGCCCTGCCGGAAGCTGGGTCGGCGGTTTGTGGGGCCGTTTAAAGTCCTGAGGAGATTGAACGAGGTGAGTTATAGGTTAGAACTACCTGTTGACTACAAAAATATTAACCCCTCGTTCCATGTGTCTCTCCTCAGGCCGGTGGTAGCTGGTCCACTCCAGGACTTTGAGATTGAGGAGACTCCTCCGCCCCCGTTGGACATCGAGGGGGCTCCGGCGTACACCGTGAGGTCCATTCTGGATTCTAGACGCCGGATGGGGGGTCTTCAATATCTCGTGGAGTGGGAGGGGTACGGTCCGGAGGAGCGGTGCTGGGTGCCAAGGAGGGACGTGCTAGACCAGTCCCTACTGACCGATTTCCATCGGGGTCATCCTGCGCGCCCTGCTCCGCGTCGTCCGGGTCGTCCTCGAGCTCCGGGTCGGCGCACGGCTGGAGCCGCGCGTCAAGGGGGGGGTACTGTCACGGTTTCGGCCGAGGCTGCTCCTCTTCCTTGTTCGGGCGGACTTCGGCGGTCGTCGTCTCCGGAGTACTAGCTGCCACCGTTCGATGTTTTTTGTTCTTTTGGTTTTGTCTGTGCATAACACCTGTCCCTTATTTGTGTCTTGATTATTCTCCTTATTTAGTTGGTTTGTTTGGGGCAGGTGTTATGCGTGATTGTTATTGTCAGTTTGCCTCCGAGTAGTTCTCTCTCTCGTTTATTTAGTAATTTCGAGAGTTCGCACTGCGTGCGCCTTTTCTTGTTTTTCCGCACTGTGTGTTGTGCGTAATTGTTCGTGCCGCCCGGTTGGGTTGGCGACTCATTTTCCCGTGTTGGGATATATATATATACTAAAGTCCGTTGAAGAACCTCCTTGTCCCTGCGCTTGATTCCTGCACTACATCCACACTCTACACTCTGACATGTTGTAGTGACTGTGTGTATTCATGCACCATTCAAAGTGTAATTAATAACTTCACCATGCTCAAAGGGATATTCAATGTCTGCTTTTTATTTTATTTTTACCCATCTACCAATAGGTGCCCTTCTTTGGAGCCATTGAAAAACCTCCCTGGTCTTTGTGGTTGAATCTGTGTTTTAAATTCACTGCTCGACTGAGGGACCTTACAGATAATTGTATGTGTGGGGTACAGATATTATGTAGTCATTCAAAAATCATGTTAAACACTGCTATTGCACAGAGTCCATGTGACTTATTATGTGACTTGTTAAGCAAATGTTTACTCCTGAACATACACTGCTCAAAAAAATAAAGGGAACACTAAAATAACACATCCTAGATCTGAATGAATGAAATAATCTTATTAAAAACTTTTTTCTTTACATAGTTGAATGTGCTGACAACAATCACACACAAATTATCAATGGAAATCAAATTTATCAACCCATGGAGGTCTGGATTTGGAGTCACCCTCAAAATTAAAGTGGAAAACCACACTACAGGCTGATCCAACTTTGATGTAATGTCCTTAAAACAAGTCAAAATGAGGCTCAGTAGTGTGTGTAGCCTCCACGTGCCTGTATGACCTCCCTACAACGCCTGGGCATGCTCCTGATGAGGTGGCGGATGGTCTCCTGAGGGATCTCCTCCCAGACCTGGACTAAAGCATCCGCCAACTCCTGGACAGTCTGTTGGTGGATGGAGCGAGACATGATGTCCCAGATGTGCTCAATTGGATTCAGGTCTGGGGAACGGGCGGGCAAGTCCATAGCATCAATGCCTTCCTCTTGCAGGAACTGCTGACACACTCCAGCCACATGAGGTCTAGCGTTGTCTTGCATTAGGAGGAACCCAGGGCCAACCGCACCAGCATATGGTCTCACAAGGGGTCTGAGGATCTCATCTCGGTACCTAATGGCAGTCAGGCTACCTCTGGCGAGCACATGGAGGGCTGTGCGGCCCCCCAAAGAAATGCCACCCCACACCATGACTGACCCACCGCCAAACCGGTCATGCTGGAGGATGTTGCAGGCAGCAGAACGTTCTCCACGGCGTCTCCAGACTCTCACGTCTGTCACGTGCTCAGTGTGAACCTGCTTTCATCTGTGAAGAGCACAGGGCGCCAGTGGCAAATTTGCCAATGTTGGTGTTCTCTGGCAAATGCCAAACGTCCTGCATGGTGTTGGGCTGTAAGCACAACCCCCACCTGTGGACGTCGGGCCCTCATACCACCCTCATGGAGTCTGTTTCTGACCGTTTGAGCAGACACATGCACATTTGTGGCCTGCTGGAGGTCATTTTGCAGGGCTCTGGCAGTGCTCCTCCTGCTCCTCCTTGCACAAAGGCGGAGGTAGCAGTCCTGCTGCTGGGTTGTTGCCCTCCTACGGCCTCCTCCACGTCTCCTGATGTACTGGCCTGTCTCCTGGTAGCGCCTCCATGCTCTGGACACTACGCTGACAGACACAGTAAACCTTCTTGCCACAGCTCGCATTGATGTGCCATCCTGGATGAGCTGCACTACCTGAGCCACTTGTGTGGGTTGTAGACTCCGTCTCATGCTACCACTAGAGTGAAAGCACCGCCAGCATTCAAAAGTGACCAAAACATCAGCCAGGAAGCATAGGAACTGAGAAGTGGTCTGTGGTCACCACCTGCAAAACCAGTCCTTTATTGGGGGTGTTTTGCTAATTTCCTATAATTTCCACCTGTTGTCTATTCCATTTGTACAACATCATGTGAAATGTATTGTCAATCAGTGTTGCTTCCTAAGTGGACAGTTTGATTTCACAGAAGTGTGATTGACTTGGAGTTACATTGTGTTGTTTAAGTGTTCCCTTTATTTTTTTGAGCAGTGTATTTAGGCTTGCCATAACAAAGTGGTTGAATACTTATTGACTGAAGACATTTCAGATTTTGAATTTATTTGTAGACATTTCTAAAAACATAATTCCACTTTGACATTATGGGGTATTGTGTGAAGGCCAGTGATACAAAATCTAAATTTTTAATCAATTTTAAATTCAGGCTGTAACACAACAAAATGTGGAAAAAGTAAAGGGGTGTGATGAATACTTTCTGAAGGCACTGTGTGTGTGTGTGTGTGTGTGTGTGTGTGTGTGTGTATATATATATATATATATATATATATATATATATAACAATACTTAGATTAAACATCTAAATTAAATCCATTTTAAATTCAGGCTGTAACACAACAAAATGTGGAAAAAGTCAAGGGGTGTGAATACTTTCTGAAGGCACTGTATGATAAACATCTGATTTGTTACGTTTAAAAGTTTTTTTTACAAACAGTATGTAGGATATTGAACATACAACAGTATTACACTTTTCAGGTTGAAGAGATGATCATATCCTTTTCTTTGTAAGAGATAATGTTTTCTATTTGTCAAAGGTTGTTCCCTCAAGCACTGCTTTGAGGGGAGGAGGGTCTGAACAAGTGGCTCCAGCTCCACAGCCAGGCCCTGGGAATAAAAGAGGTCAAGAAAAGGCAGAGCGTGTGGAGAAGAGCCCGTTCACCAGAGAGAAGGAACCGCCATCTGGTAAGAATTTAATGACAGTAGTGAGGGGGTACACAGGGTATAAGGTTGGTCTTGAGTAAGTAAGTCAACTTGGAATTCATTTGCTGGAAATGCACTATTGAGGCCCTTTGCTCCACTTGACTTTGAGTGAGAGAAATGACAGTGACTGTAATAGACCGCTCTCTCTGATCCTCCTCCAGGTACCTTAGGAAGCAGTGGCTCTAGATCAAACCCCTACAATGTGGTGATGGTTGGAAACAGCAGTGTGGGCAAAACCTCCTTCATGAAGCGCTTCCAAAGTGGCGAGTTCTGTAACGACCACTATGCTACCATTGGTGAGTATCATTATCCTATTTGTATGTTTGGCACCATGCCCTTTCATGTCGTGTGAAGAAACAAACACCATGGTACAGTTTTACTGTACATTACTGTGCTGCTCATTCATGTTTTTTTGTTTATGTTCTGAGCAGGTATTGATACCTGTATACAGCCTGTGACAGTGGATGGCAGCCCAGTGACTTTACAGTTATGGGATACTGCAGGTCAAGAAAGGTGCGTCTCTAGCCCTAAATTCATCACAGTTGGTCATTGTACATCATGCATCGATACAGAATCTGTTCCTCTGTCCTTATTTGAACCCATCATGTGTGTTTTATTTGTCAGTATATAATTACATTCATGTTAGACTATTGTAACATTATTCTTTACTGTCTTCCCCAGGTATCACAGTATCACCAGGCAGGTGTTCCACAGAGCCCAGGGTCTAGTGCTGATGTATGACATCACTTCCTCTCAGAGCTTCTGTGACGTCCGCTACTGGGTCAACTGCATTCAGGTAGGGGGCATTTAAATCATGCCTTTCATTTTATAACCAAAGAACTATGTAACAACACAAACAATTGTTTGCAGGATTCACAGTTTTTCCATTGCTATCTATTGTACAGTCAGAAACTTTGTATTTTGTAGGAGGGGGCCCCAGATGATGTCATCATTATACTCCTTGGGAACAAGGCTGATTGTGCTAATCTAGAACGAGAGGTTCAGACTCATGAAGGGGAAAACCTGGCAAAGGTATGTTGACGTTACTGTAACTTTAACAGCCTGAATGTGGGTAACTGGGCTGTAGGATTAACTTGTGGTAAGGGTTGTGTTCAAAATGAGGGTTTTACAGTTTTATAGCTGGTTCTGAAATGGAGGTGTGTACCAAAGCAGGATTCAAATAATTCATTATAAATACAATGCTATTATTGATGACATTCTTACAGGGGTATGGCATGCTCTTTATGGAGTGTAGTGCTGCAACAGGTGACAATGTGACTCTGTCTATGGAAACGCTGGCAAGGTAAGACATGCAGGCACGTCTTTAATGTACAAGCTGTTGTTAGTGTTATGTGTAGTGTGGATTTGTCTGTTGTCATCTTCTGCATGTGGAAAATGACTGTCTGTGAATAGTCAAACATTGAGTTGGTGTGTTGTTGCTTCAAGGATGCTAAAGCAGTTGGGAGAGGAGACGCGACAAGAAGAGGGAAGCTTGGTGTTGCAGAAAGAACCCCCAAAGAAGAAATTGGGCTGCTGCTGATCAAGGTGGAGAAGATTGGTACATCTCACAATCTGCAGCACACACGTATGCACATGCACACACACACACATTTGTGCCTCATACTCCCTTATGATTGTATTTTATTTCTAAATGTTTTATGTCATATCAGATTAATTAAAGAAAATGTTTTGTTAATGCATGCCAAATCATGTAGTAATAGTAATGTGACACTTGAAATGATCCTCCCTTTGGTACTTCCTTTAATTACTGTTTATGGGGGGGGGATATAAAATCATTGAGGTATATGTTCATACAAACACAATTCATTTATAGTAGATAGTTTAATATTATAATTGTAGGGTTTCTATTTGCATAAAAAATATCCAGCTATGCAGCTTATAAATGCCTAATAAATTCATAATACAATCAACTGCCTCCATAATTAGTCATATTGACAGAAAATATTACTAAGTATTTCTTTAACTATCACTGAGTTCCAGGAGCTGCCACACTCTTCCAATCCATTGATCTTATTGACACAGTGCTTGATAGCTGCTGTTACATCACATTATGACATTGTATCTCATCACTATATAGACTAGAAGACCGAGACGTTCAGAGTGTGATTGCATCGATTGTCATTTGTTGCCTCGTCCGTCCTGTGGGTTCCAGAGCCACAGTAGAACCAGTACCATCAGGCTGAGGAACACAGCAAACACAATGAAGAAGACCTCTGCTGCCCACTGGCCGCGCTGCACACCTGTCACCACCAGGGGGAGCTCTGAGGGGATCAGGTTGGTCAGGTTCAACATGTAGCCCAGCGTCCAGCCAATGTCTGTGTCTGCCACCTGATAGACACCGATGATGTGTATATATGAACATATACTATATCACAGGAGGTTGGTTGCACCTTCATTGGGGAGGACGGGCTTCGTGGTAATGGCTGGACTGGAATGGTATTGATGCCATTCCATTTACTCCATTCCAGCCATTATTATGAGCCGTCCTCCCCTCAGCAGCCACCACTGTACTGTATGTATGTATATGATAGACACACAGCTTCATTAGGGCAGCACATCTATTAATATTGACTGCCACACAATAATATTTAGTTCATTCTGTGGTATCATTTCATACATTTTGTGTCCTGAAGTTAAATCTTTGAATAGGATGTTGACATTTTTACGTCATATGTATAGTTAAACACACACCTGTCTCTGGAAGTATATGTTTCCCCAGGTCTGGTTGAACTTGTAGCCGTCTAGTAGTACTGTCATTATGTAGTTGGCTGAGGCACAGTAATCACGAAGGTACTTGTCTTTTACGCTATACTGTTTCTTGAGCTGCCAAAAGAGTTAAGAACATTGTTGTAACATTGGGAATTAGGTCATTACAAGGTATAGTTTGTAGGCTACTGTGGATTGATGTCTGTGTTATAAAGAATTACATTTTATGGATGTTCAGTCTGTGTTTAGCATGTGATTGAGTATGAATTGATGAATCTGTGTACCGGTTTACAGTTTTGAGGAAGTGTACTGTCAATGTGAAAGGTCAGCAGAGGTCTCTATATCTCACCGAGTCCCAGGTCCTTTTACAGAAAGTGTCTATAGTGGTGGTAGCCTGAGACAGAGTGGGCTGAGGAGCCAGACCAAGGAAGTCAAAGGTGTAAAAGTATGCGGAGAAAGCCTGGGGAAAGGAAACAGAATGATGGTGACAATATACACTGAGTGTACAGAACATTAGGAACACCTTCCTAATATTGCGTTTCACCCCTTTTTGCCCTCAGAACAGCCTCAATTTGTCAGGGCAAGGACTCTACAAGGTATCGAAAGCATTCCACAGCGCTCCAATGCTTCCCACAGTTGTGTCAAGTTGGCTGGATGTCCTTTGGGTGGTGGACTATTCTTGACACACACGGGAAACTGTTGAACTTGAAAAAACCAGCAGCGTTGCAGTTCTTGAGCCACTCAAACCAGTGCGCCTGGCACCTACCCCGTTTAAAGGCACTTAAATCTTTTGTCTTGCCCATTCACCCTCTGAATAGCGCACATACACAATCCATGTCTCAAGTCTTAGAAATCCTTCTTTAACCCGTCTCCTCCACTTAATCGTTTTAAGATAAAGCAAAGCAGTGCGATTAAAAACAACACAGAGTAATTACAAATAATGACAATTTAGTATTAACACTGGAGTGATAGATGTGCAGAAGAGGATGTGCAAATAGAGATACTGGGATGAAAATGAGCAAAATAAATAACAATGTAAATAACAATATGGGGATGAGGTAGTTGGGTGGGCTAATTACAGATGTGCTGTGTACAGGTGTAGTGATCGGTAAGCTGCTCTGACAACTGATGCTTAAAGTTAGTGAGGGAGATAAGATTTTTGCAGTTCGTTCCAGTCATTTGCAGCAGAGAACTGGAAGGAGTGGCGGCCAAAGGAGGTGTTGGCTTTGGGGATGACCAGTGAGATATACCTGCTGGAACGCATACTACGGGTGGGTGTTGCTATGGTGACCAATGATCTAGGCAAATCCCGCCTTATCTTAGAAATGATTTATAGATGACCTGGAGCCAGTGGGTTTGGCAACAAATATGTAGTGAGGGCCAGCCAACGAGAGCGTACAGGTCACAATGGTGGGTAGCATATGGGGCTTTGGTGACAAAACGGATGGCACTGTGATAGACTACATCCAATTTGCTGAGTAGAGTGTTGGGAGCTATTTTGTAAATGACATCACCGAAGTCAAGGAACGGTAGGATAGTCAGTTTTACGAGGGCATGTTTAGCAGCATGAGTGAAGGAGGCTTTGTTGCGAAATAGGAAGCCGATTCTAGATTTAACTTTGGATTGGAGATGCTTAATGTGAGTCTGGAAGGAGAATATACACTGAAGTGGACGTAATAAGTGACATCAATAAGGGATCATAGCTTTCACCTGGATTTACCTAGTCAGTCTGTCATGGAAAGTGCAGGCATTCTTAATGGTTTGTACACTGTATACTGTTAGACATCTTTCAAATACTTGGAATGTTTGATTGAGGCTGCATGGAGTGCCAGTTGAGTGGGGTTTGCATAGATATGGGTTGAATACTCACAAAGAAGTTTCCACTGACAGGGGGCTGGTAGACCCCGTTGAAGCCACAGTCAGGGGCCAGGGAGCAGGCAGACAGGTTCATGATGTTCTTAATCTGGTTGAGACACTGAAGCGGCTCACTGGTCCCTGTGAAGGTGACCACTGAGGCTGGGTTAAAGGTCACAGATTTGGCCACGCAGGGGGAGTCATAGAGGTCACCCAGAGTCAGGGTTAGGTTGTCACCCAGGTGGTAGCAGGGGTGGTTGACTGGGCGGGTAGACCCACTCATCTGGTAGAGGAGGAAGTTTGCTTGAATCATACAAGAAAACTCAGCTAAGGCAGCCATGAAATGCTTCTGACTCAACTGAGACACATTCAGTCAAACTGCTTTAGGGCAAATCTACACTGAATTGGCCCAAATATATTTATGATGTGTCTTAAAGAAGGCTAAGGCTGAAATGTCACATACTGTATATCCCAACTTTATTATTATTATTGAATTATGTTGGATAAAGATTGCAAAGGTATGCCAAAAATCATTTTCTCAAATGACCTTTCTTTGGATTTCATTTCAGGAAGTTCCAAAACAACACATATTTGGGCCAATCTCGTATAGAATCTGTCAGGTTTTGGCCATGACTGTTCGGGTTTTGGTCACTAGATGTCCCCATTGCACCTTTTTGTACCTTTTGTTTTTCTTGCTCTAATTATTGTTTGCACCTGTAGGTCATTCCCTTGTTAGTATTTAAACCCTGTGTGTTCCTCAGTTCCTTGCTCAGTGTTTGTAAGTTAGCACCCAGCCCCAGCCTTGTTTTATATAGATATTTCTCTGGTGGGATTTTCCAGAGGTTCTCTGGTTTAGTTCTTGTGTTTTGTTTGAGTAGTCTTTTGAGGTTTGTTTTTTCCCTGCTGTTTTTTACCACTTTGTGGAGTTTCTTTTGTTTTTGGAGGTTTTCCTCTTTGTGCCTCTTGGCTTTATTTTTGGACATTGTGGATTTAGCTTCTTTGCCTGAAGATTTTGTTCTTTAATAAACCACCATCTCTAGTACAGCTGTGTCTGCCTCATCTTCTGGGTTCTGACAATTATTAGTGACTGTTTCTCGCACCGGGTCGTGACAGAATCGCCCTTTAGCAATGTTTGTTCAGTATCTTTATTTAGAACACTACTGCCTGTTTGCACATTTTTCTTCCTGAAAACTGGTTTTATACAATATCTACATGTAGGGGAAGTTTTATATAGTATTATTACAATACCTGAAACCATTCTGCAATTTCTCAGAGTTTCATCAAACTGGTGACCAGACAGCTACTTACCTTGAGTAGATGAACCTGTAGCTGCCTCATGGTCTGCTCCTTGCCATAGCACAGGTAGCTGTGTGTGTACACCTCATATTGGTAACCATAGAGCTTGGATCCCAGGGTGGAGGCAGGGTCCCGTACGGGCTGGCTGGGGGTAAAGGCTATCTGGGTGGAAGAGCCTCCCATATCCAAGGCACCCCAGGTCTTCCTTCCGTTAGGACGCACCCATCCTCCCTCAAAGCCGTGCTGCTTAGAAGTACAAATACTGTATGTTAGCTATAGTTTTAAACTGCAGACCTGCAATTGACCAATATAACAGGTTATTACAGTGGTAACAAGTAGTATTCCTACTTGTAGTACTCCTACTGTTAATTATGCCTAAACAAGCTTGATACCATTGTCTGAGGAGAGCAAGCCTCTGTAGTTCGGACACTTCAGTCAAGGTTAACACTTTGACTCAACCTCATAGATGGAGAAGCCGCTGCACACGGAATGGGTTTGGGGTCGGCTATGGGCGGGGTCGTCCCGGGCCGCCCCTGCCCACCACACGTTTTCATTTGCGGAGGCTTTCCAGACAGACAAGTGATGGGCAGAGCGGGATTCGTAAATAGCTCAGTTGGTTTGCCTGGGCAAGTTCAGTACAAAAACGTTTTGGAACGTTTCAGATAGAAATGCCATGAATAGAAATGACATGATTCCTTAGAATCAGAGGCATGTGTTCTTCTACATAATACATTTCTATCTGTATGTTGGCCAATGTTGTCTGTTCTTCTGCTGAACGCTAGCCACAATAATGAAATTTGCGGTTCACTTTTAAAATAAAAGTCCCTCATTGAAAGTGATGCAAACAGATTCAAATAGTGGAATCATGCCATATTTGGACTAGATAATGCTAAACAAAGTTGGAATGTTGTTACATAATTTAAAATGAAATACATTTAGTTAATTAGTTTGACAATTAACAGAAAAAACTGTCAAAACCGCACTGTGAATGTACAGTTGATGTCGGAAGTTTACATACACCTTAGCCAAATACCTTTAAACTCAGTTTTTCACAATTCCTGACATTAAATCCTAGTAAAAATTCCCTGTCTTAGGTCAGTTAGGATCACCACTTTTATTTTAAGAATGTAAAATGTCAGAATAATAGTAGAGAGAATGATTTATTTTAGCTTTTATTCCTTTCATCACATTCCCAGTGGGTCAGAAGTTTACATACACTCAATTAGTATTTCGTAGCATTGCATTTAAATTGTTTAACTTGGGTCAAACGTTTCGGGTAGCCTTCCACAAGCTTCCCACAATAAGTTGGGTGAATTTTGGCCCATTCCTCCTGACCGAGCTGGTGTAACAGAGTCAGGTTTATAGGCCTCCTTGCTCGCACACGCTTTTTCAGTTCTGCCCACATTTTCTATAGGATTGAGGTCCGGGCTTTGTGATGGCCACTCCAATACCTTGACTTTGTTGTCCTTAAGCCATTTTGCCACTACTTTCGAAATATGCTTGGGGTCATTGTCCATTTGGAAGACCCATTTGCGACCAAGCTTTAACTTCCTGACTGTCTTGAGATGTTGCTTCAATATATCCACATAATTTTCCGTCCTCATGATGACATCTATTTTGTGAAGTGCACCAGTCCCTCCTGCAGCAAAGCACCCCCACAGCATGATGCTGCCACCCCCGTGCTTCACGTTTGGGATGGTGTTCATCGGCTTGCAAGCAACCCCCTTTTTCCTCCAAACATAACGATGGTCATTATGGCCAAACAGTTCTATTTTTGTTTCATCAGACCAGAGGACATTTTTCCAAAAAGTACGATCTTTGTCCCCATGTGCAGTTGCAAACCGTAGTCTGGCTTTTTTATGGCGGTTTTGGAGCAGTGGCTTCTTCCTTGCTGAGCAGCCTTTCAGGTTATGTCGATATAGGACTTGTTTTACTGTGGATATAGATACTTTTGTACCTGTTTCCTCCAGCATCTTCACAAGGTCCTTTGCTGTTGTTCTGGGATTGATTTGCACTTTTCGCACCAAACTACGTTAATCTCTAGGAGACAGAATGCGTCTCCTTCCTGAGTGGTATGACGGCTGCGTGGAATATGAAATAACACAAGGAATCATGTAGGAACCAAAAAAGTGTTAACAAATCAAAATATATTTTATATTCAAGATTCTTCAAAGTAGCCACCCTTTGCCTTGATGACAGCTTTGCACACTCTTGGCATTCTCTGAACCAGCTTCATGAGGTAGTCACCTGGAATGCATGTCAATTAACAGGTGTACCTTCTTAAAAGTTAATTTGTGGAATTTCTTTCCTCCTTAATGCGTTTGAGCCTATCAGTTGTGTTGTGACAAGGTAGGGGTTGTATACAGAAGATAGCCCTATTTGGTAAAAGACCAAGTCCATATTATGGCAAGAACAGCTCAAATAAGCAAAGAGAAACTACAGTCCATCATTACATTAAGACATGAAGGTCAGTCAATCCGGAAAATGTCAAGTACTTTGAAAGTTTCTTCAAGTGCAGTCGCAAAAAAAAAAAACCATCAAGCACCATGATGAAACTGGCTCTGTTCATTAGAGTTAACGGCACCTCAGAAATTGCAGCCAAATAAATGCTTCAAGTAACAGACACATCTCAACATCAACTGTTTAGAGGAGACTGCGTGAAACAGGCCTTCATGGTCGAAGTGCTGCAAAGAGACCTCTACTAAAGGACACCAATAAGAAGAAGAGACTTGCTTGGGCCAAGAAACACGAGCAATGGACATTAGACCGGTGGAAATCTGTCCTTTGGTCTGATGAGTTCAAATTTGAGATTTTTGGTTCCAACCGCCGTGTCTTTGTGAGACGCAGAGTAGGTGAACGGATGATCTCCGCATGTGTGGTTCCCACCATGAAGCATGGAGGTGTGATGGTGTGGGGGTGCTTTGCTGGTGACACTGTCAGTGATTTTATTTAGAATTCAAGGCACACTTAACCAGCATGGCTACTACAGCTGCGATACGCCATCCCATCTGGTTTGCGCTTAGTGGGACTATAATTTTTTTTCCAACAGGACACACCTCCAGGTGTGTAAGGGCTATTTGACCAAGAAGGAGAGTCATGGAGTGCTGCATCAGATGACCTGGCCTCCACAATCACCCGACCTCAGCCTAATTGAGGTGGTTTGGGATGATTCGGACCGCAGAGTAAAGGAAAAGCAGCCAACAAGTGCTCAGCATATGTGGGAACTCCTTCAAGACTGTTGGAAAAGCATTCCTCAAGAAGCTGGTTGAGAGAATGCCAAGAGTGTGCAAAGCTGTCATCAAGGCAAAGAGTGGCTACTTTTGAAGAATCTCAAATAAAATATATTTTGATTTGTTTAACCCTTTTTTTGGTTACTACATGATTCCATATGTGTTATTTCATAGTTTTGATGTCTTCACTATTATTCTACAACGTACAAAAGAGTAAAAATAAAGAAAAACCCTTGAATGAGTAGGTGTGTCCAAACTTGACTGGTACTGTATCTCATTCTAATATTTCTACTACTATTGCATTTTAGTTACACTGTTTATTTATTTATATACTGAATTCTTGACATAGCTCACTCTAACATATCTACTGCTGTGCATATCATTCCTATAGAAGTATACAGTATCTTGTTTAAATTCATCGGGGGTAGATACTTACAGATTGCATTTGGATTACTGTTAGTGCTATTTGGGTTCATTCCACCATTTCTTAATTCCAAAAGTAAAAAGAAAGAAATTATCTGTGTACTTTTTTGTATAGCTAGGTATTACTGCACTGTTGGAGCTAGAAGCACAAGCATTTCGCTGCACCTGCGACAACATCTACAAATCTGTGTATGCGATCAATAAACTTTGATTTGATTTAGACTGCATAATTGCATTGGGGGCATACTTATATGCACTGTACAGCCTTACCTATAGATTGTGCACCCATGAAACAGGGTATCAGGGTTCTCAGTGAAACCCACAGAACATAACTATGTAGAGTTTACATAAATATTAGCGTCTTAGCTCTTATTGCCCACAGCCGACCCCGCCCCGTTCTGTGTGCCGTTGTGTGTGTAGCCTATTCTCAGTGGTGGAAAAAGTACCCAATTGTCATACTTGAGTTAAAGTAAAGATACCTTAATAGAAAATGACTCAAGTGAAAGTCGCCCAGTAAAATACTAGAGTAAAAGTCTAAAAGTATTTGGTTTTAAATATACTTAAGTATCAAAGTAAATTTAATTTCAAAAATATACTTATGTATCAAAAGCACAAGTATAAATCATTTCAAATTGCTTATATTAAGCAAACCAGACGGCACAATTGTTTTTTAAAATGTATTTACGGATAGCCAGGGGCACACTACAACATCATTTACGAACGAATCATTCGTGTTTAGTGAGTCCTCCAGGTCAGAGGCAGTAGGGATGACCAGGGATGTTTTCTTGATAAGTGCGTGAATTGGACCATTTTCCTGTCCTGCTAAGCATTCAAAATGTAACGAGTACTTTTGGGTGTCAGGGAAAAAGTATGGAGTAAAAAGTACATTATTTTCTTTAGGAATGTAGTGAAGTAAAAGTAAAAGTACAGATACCCCAAAAAACTATTTAAGTAGTACTTTAAAGTATTTTTACTTTACACCACTGCCTATTCTATAGGCCCTATACACACCTTGATGAAGCCCTCTTGTAGATAGTTGGTGGTGATCCATCCGTAAGCACCTTCCTCCATCCCAGAGAGAATCCGTGCCCCCCGAAAGTCAAAGGGATACCCCTGGATCACCTTGGTTACCTGCTCCAAAACCTGATCAGACTGGGTCTGATTCTGTAGCCTGAGGAGAGGACAATATTCAGTCACTCTTGCAGGATAATGGAAGTCGATTTCAGAAATGCTTCTTTATTATTAAAACCAGGTTTTGCAGCCTGAAAAAGCACACAGTACCCAGTCATACTGTACAGGAGGTTAAATAGTCACCACATAGATCAGTGGGATGTTTTCCTCAACCTGGTCTCAGAGCATTTTATATTATTCTGTATGTAAATCCAAGACACTCCATTTAGTATGATATGTTACGTTTGGGGGTTGTTGGTCGGCGTGGTGGATGGGTGGGTGTGTAACTTGAACATCTAGCAACCCTGGATGGGTGGGCTTATAACACAAACATCTAGCAAACCAAAGGTTGCGAGTTCGAATCTCATCACGGACAACTTTAGCATTTTAGCAACTTTTCAACTACTTACTACTTTTTAGCTACTTTGCGACTACTTAGCATTTTAGCTAAACCTTCCCCTAACCTTAACCTTTTTAGCTAACCCTTCCCCTAACTCTAACCTTAACCCTTCAACCTAAATCCTAAACGTAACCCTAACCTTAACCCTAAACCCTAGCCTAGCTAACGTTAGCCACCTAGCCACCTAGCTAGAATTCATAACATATTGTACGTTTGGCAAATTCATAACATATTGTAGGTTCTGCAAATTCGTAACATATAATACAAATTGTAATTTCATACGAAATGGGTGATGGACATCCACAAATGAATACATACCATACGAAACGTAACATATCATACTAAATAGTGTCCCGGATTTACGTACAGAATAATATGAAATTCTCAGAGACCAGGTTGTTTTCCTAGCACATTCATTCATAAAGTCAGATTGTTGGGATGTGGTAAATGCAAATGATTACACCTATCAAGATAAAACAGCGCAGTCTTGACTTACTGCAAGAGTCGCATGCCAGCGGTAGCACCAAGGTACACAGGAGTTGCCCTGTGCTGGTTGGCAGGGACGAATGCCAGTGCACTGTCCAGGCACTTCCTCAGACTGAGCCCTGCAGCAGGGGGGTCCTGGGCATAGCTAGAGATGCCATTTCCTATGGAAGAGCAGGGGACAGGGGTGTGAGACAAAGGCATATACTGTATGTTTTGATATGACAACCATTACTGAGTGATAAATTATGATTTGTCTTACGATCAAGCTGCCATCAAAATAGGTATGATGGCTGAGGGGCGTATTCTAACTTCTAATGTACCTTCTAGGGACGAATCCTAACTTCTCCCATTGACGTCAACTATTTCCAGATATACCCCCCCCCCCCCCCCCCCCCCCCCCCCCAACTTATGTGGAAGTTAGGATTTACCCCTAAGAATGAGTTAAATAATAGAGTAGTAATACTGGTTCACAGACAGCACTTGGCACTGACCGTCAACATCACAGACCAGCATCTGTGACACCACCCCAGTGTTGTTTTCTTTGTTGCCAGGCCAACGGTACATGTAGAGAGACGTGTGTGTGGATCCTGCATCAAACACCATCCCATACTGAAGGACACAGACAGAGAAGTCAAATACCATTCCATATTGGGCAATCCTGTGTGTTTGGGAAAGCCTGTGTGTTTGATACAGAGAGGGAGAGGGAGAGCGGTAAACTAAGATTAATGTTGTCCTTACTGGGAGAATAAAATAAATAAATAAAATAAGTTCAGTCCCATATTCATCCCCTTTTCATGTTGAATACCGTCCCATATTGGAAGCTTGACAGGGGCCCTGTCGTATCCTGTCAGGTATGTGCTTTATGAAATAACGAAGTCTGAGACATGACAAAAACAATGTGATATCCAATAGGGTCAAGGGTGGAATTGGGAAGGAACACGTTGGAACTGAGTTACCAAAGTTAAACGATTTGGACATGTACATTTAGGTGAATTCTAGGATTTTACATGGGTGAGTTCCCAGAGTGAATTTTCCCCAATTCTGCCCCTGATAAGGGTTGTCAAGTGAAGTAAATTACAGTAGTCACATCACAGATAACAGTTGTAATTTCTCATCACCTGCATGCGATGGGGGAGATCCACCGAGTGGTGGTGAACTAATGTGAGGATTAGAGCGATGACGCCCATGCATCCCATCGCTACCACCACTACAGCCACTGCTGCCTGTTTCACCATTGACATCTTCATTCCAAATACACCTGTAAACCAACTCTTCCTGACACACATACACACAGGCACAACAAAGCAAATTACACGTTGGTTTCCTTTTTATTGCCACCAATGCAGAAGATAACATCCATTTCACCATTGACATCTTCAAACACACCTGTTAGCCCACTCTCCCTTAAACACATACACACAGAGAGAGCCAATGTCACCCTAATAGACAATTTGTTGAGAACCAATCAACCATCTCTGTAAAATCAATCCTTTGATTATCAAAAACAAATGACACCGGAGTTTTTTCATGCCGTCAATGTTCATGTATTGCTTCATAAATAGACACAATGGACACATGGTGAATCCTAAAAGCATTCCTATCTAATCTGATGTATCTGCTTTGTCTTATGATTCTCATCAGAGGGCACGGAAATATATTTTCATAAAATGTTTATATTCTAATTAACATTTTACCACAGGAATTGTGAGTTTAATTTCTTTATGCTACTTGTCTCCTCTGCCACTGTTTCCTCTTCTTCAAGGGGTAAAGAAATGAGAGCGTACCGCACAATATCTCATCTTAAAATGCACATGCAAAACTCATATCACATAACAGTACAGTATATTTGTCTTGGTTTACTGCATATTGCTTTTATAGAGAGAGATGTTAAAATGATGCTTTACATATTGAACAGATAATGCTGCCTTTGAAATAACCATGAAAGACGAATAGGAGCAGTGACTGACCTAGTAGTCAACCATTAACAGAGAAGGTACTTGAACTGTTCTATTAAAACGTGAGATACACGACCAGTGTTTTCCACTTAATCCTCCACGGTTCAACATGGTCAAAACAACTGGACTTACCGACAAGGAGGTTTCTTCTCTGTGATCTCTTCTCCCTGACCCCAAGGTCAAACTAGAACCATACGCGTTATCTTAGAAATTTTCTGAATTTACTAAATGTACAGTCTCGTAAGATCTTACACTGACCAGAGCATAGGCGTTCTGCCTTTCTCTTGTGCTCTCACTCACTCTCACTCACACACTCTCTCCCATTCACTTGCTCAATCTCGCTCTCGCTCTCTGTTTCCGTCTCTCTCACCTCTCTCTAATAAACTCACATTCTCTCTCCTCCTCCCAAGCTCTGATGCAAAGTACAATTTGTCATCTTTATTCCTCACGTGGTAGGCTGAACTGTAATGCCCTCACAACTATTCACAAATGTTATTACATTGATCATGTGGACATTTGAAGTGTGTGATGTCTGATGTTTGGCCATTCAACACATTGACCACGCATTTGTAGACAAAATTCCAAAGTTGGTTGGCCCTCTTTGATGTCGCATAAGTTTATACATTGCTATGTTTTCATTTATAAAGCCCTTTTACAAAAGTCCCACTGTACCTAACATCTTTACTAAACTTTAGACATACTGTATGAGATACCACAACCGTTCTCAGGGATGGCTAACTCTGGAAATTCCTTTGGTCTCTACTGAGTTAGGTACAGTAAATCAGCTAAAATAAATACAGGGAAGGGCAGTGGTTCCAAAAAACGGTGTCTTATAGGGGTCAATACATTCCTAAATAACTCTGTGACTAAATTCTATTTGTACACACAAACAATATTTTTATGCAACTTTTTAAATAGACAATTCATTTACCATATTTCCATAATTTGGTTTATGCAGTTACACAATAGGGCGAGGTTCGATGGGAAAGTTTTGATATTTTCAAATATTACATTTTTCATCACATAATATTATTTGTTGATAGTGTGCTTTACAGAGTGTTGCATGTTTTGTTTCAGAAGTGAGTGTAATGAATGAAACCTGTGTTTCTGAGCCAAGGACATTGACAGCCTTCATGGACCACAAACTGTGATAGAGGAGGCACAGACAGCACACTGTTGGGTGCAATGACAGAATTAGTTATTTGTAGCCACTAGCTCCTGTACACTGATAATGCTTATAGAAGTATTATTCAAGGACGTACTCGAAGACGTATATACTTGTACTGAGAATGCCGTGGGTCATACATTTTTTAAACCTGAGCTCAAATTTGATGTGTCACAGACATGGCCCTTCTTTTTGATAGTACCGATACCAATGTTAAAATGTGTCATTCAATTTACATTGATGAGCACTCCTATATACTGTAAGTGGTATTGAAATATACACTACATAAACAAAAGTATGTGGACACCCCTTCAAATGAGTGGATTTGGCTATTTCAGCCACACCCGTTGCTGACAGGTGTATAAAATCAAGCACACAGCCATGCAATCGCCATAGACAAACATTGGCAGTAGAATGGCCTTACTGAAGAGCTCAGTGACTTTCAACGTGGCACCGTCATAGGATGCCACCTTTCCAACAAGTCAGTTTGTCAAATTTCTGCCCTGGTAGAGCTTCCCCGGTCAACTGTAAGTGCTGTTATTGTGAAGTGGAAATGTTTAGGAGCAACAATAGCTCAGCCGCTAAGTGTTAGGCCACACAAGCTCACAGAACGGGACCGCCGAGTGCTGAAGCGCGTAGTGTGGAAAAAATGTCTGTCCTCGGTTGCAACACTCACTACCGAGTTCCAAACTGCCCTTGGAAGCAACATCAGCACAATAATTGTTAATCGGGAGCTTCATGAAATGGGTTTCCATGGCCGAGCAGCTGCACACAAGCCTAAGATCACCATGCGCAATGCCAAGCGTCGGCTGGAGTGGTGTAAAGCTCGCCGCCATTGGACTCTGGAGCAGTGGAAATGCGTTCTGGAGTGATGAATCACGCTTCACCATCTGGCAGTCTGACAGACGAATCGGGGTCTGGCGGATGCCAGTTGAACGCTACCTGCCCGAATGCATAGTGCCAACTGTAAAGTTTGGTGGAGGAGGAATAATTGTCTGGGGCTGTTTTTCATAGTTCGGGCTAGGCCCCTCAGTTCCAATGAAGGGAAATCTTAACGCTACAGCATACATTCTAGACGATTCTGTGCTTCCATCTTTGTGGCAACAGTTTGGGGAAGGCCCTTTCCTGTTTCAGCACGACAATGCCACCGTGCACAAAGCGAGGTCCATACAGAAATGGTTTGTCGAGATCGGTGTGGAAGAACTTGACTGGCCTGCACAGAGCCCTGACCTCAACCCCATCGAACACCTTTGGGATGAATTGGAACGCCAACTTCGAGCCAGGCCTAATCGCCCAACATCAGTGCCCGACCTCACTAATGCTCTTGTGGCTGAATGGAAGCAAGTCCCCGCAGCAGTGTTCCAACATCTAGTGGAATGCCTTCCCAGAAGAGTGGAGGCTGTTATAGCAGCTAAGGGGGGACCAACTCCATATTAATTTCCATGATTTTGGAATGAGATGTTCGATGAGCAGGTGTCCACATACTTTTGGTCATGTAGTGTATCAATGTTAGGTAACTTGCTATAGCAGTTGCTGCATTTTTCCACATCTCCATGGCAATGACCCTCTGGACTCCGAGCACCTGTGTGAGCACCCTCTCATATGTCTTTTCTCCACACTCACTATGGCACCCTGACTAGTCCCCTACAAAGGCTTACCTCTATCAAGTGCCTCCCACACAAAGACTGCAGCCCGTCACAGTCAATTATAAATTTACGTTTTGCATTGATAACGGTTAGGTGTGAATAAAAACGATCAATAATTACAGATCAGTCTCCGTTTACAGAATACCGGTGCTTCATTCAATTGTTCAGAATCACAAAAACGTGGTAATTGCACAAGCATACACACAGGCATTCATGCACATGTACACAGACACACATACACGCATACAAATATTCACACACAGTCACACACACGCCAAGTTGCTTAATAGATGGAGCGATCGGTTACACATCTTTTTTGTTGTTGTTTCCTTTTTTCATTAGATAACCAAATAAATACTTAACTATTTGCAATAAATCTTTATCAATCAACAAATCTCAGGACATTACCTGAAGCTCCATAGAACATTACCACTAAAGTTCCACAGAACTAGGGTTGCAAAACTGGGAATTTTGGGAAAGTTACCTGATTTTTGAAACCTTACATGACAGAACATTACTAGGCTACTGAAGTTCCTCAGGACATTACCACTGAAGCTCCATGGGTAGGCTAGTGCTGGAGGCTAATGGAGTCCACTCCAAAATAATTGATTCCATTCTACCACTGAAGTTTCACAGAATATTACCGGAGGCATGACGACAGAGCAATACAACTGAAGCGCCATGTGATATTTCCAGTGAAGTAGGCTAGAGCGATTGTTTTCCTCTCTTTTTGAGGAAAGCATTGAGCAACGCTTCCAGTCTTAGGTTCCATGGGAGGTCAATGGGACATGGTTTTGCTAAAACTAAGAAAAAAGAGAAATTGCCATGTCCACGTGCATCACATGTTCATCAAGTTGTCCAAACATTCTGTTTAACATGAATAAAGCATACAGTTTGATGTTTGGATACAATGTCACATATAGCACTGGACTCAGGGTAGGCTTATGTCCCTGTATCGTCTTTAGTTTTGTACTAATTATTCATTGATTCTTGTGTGTTTTCATTATGGATAGCTCTAACAGAAAATTGCTTTACTTGGGTTTAGGTTGCAATAAATAGTCCAGCACATTTAGGTGGTGGGCCGTAGCAAGCTGATTTAGTTTTTGAGATGATCGATCTCTGTCGAGGGAGGAGCTGGTTTTTACATGTTGTGTATATTTATTTATTATTTCCGTTTGTTGGCAATGTCAATTCTTGCAATTTTTTTTCAAAATACTTACTTTTATGTTCGCTAGCTGGACAGGCAAACTATGGTAGTAGAAAGCTGGTGACAGCTCGAGAGAGATCTCCGTCCGACAAACTGCTATCAGGTAAAGTATTATTTTTTTGTTGTTGTAATCTATCTATTTCGTTATAGAAATGTGATACCATCAATGCAAGCTGTAAAATGACTCCCAACACACTGTAGATAGCAGCAACCTTAGTAATGTAGATAGCTAGCTAGTTACAACAAGTATACAGTGGGGAGAACAAGTATTTGA